TAACATTGGATTATACTTTTGTCAAATTTAAAACAGAATTTTCTTAAATAAAAACTGATTTTACTTTAGTTTAAAAATTGAAAAATAAATTTAATAACATTTAAATGCGATATATTACTTTATAAATTATAAGTCAACATCTCGATATTTTTATTTATTTTATTTATTTATCTTGTTTACAATTAAGAATTGTTTTAAGATAGAAAATCGCCTCCCTCCACACCAAATTAAATTATAAAACTTACATAAAATACATTTTATAAAATAAATAAATCGAATTGTAGTTGATATATTCACTTCATGAGAAAATTGAATGTTGATTTTCATTTATAAAATAAAAGAATTTGTAGAGAGGAAGTAGAGTTTTGTTGCATTTTCAAAAACACAGCATCAATTACATTTCATAATTCTATATTTGTTTGAAATTTTCGTTAAAAGCATTTACGAAAAAAATAAAAATATAAAAAAATTCGGAAAAATGCCAAATTACTCAACTGTTTGGCCTGAATTTCTTAGGAAGAAGTTATGTTTGTTATTTGAAGCTTCTTCTTGTATTATCTAACAAAACGAAAATTGAGTTAACAAATTATTTTGGCTTTCATACAAATGGCCATTGTTAAATGTCTTTTTTAAAAATTTATCTTTAAAAATTTTATAAATAAAAACTAAATAATGATTTATTTTATTTATCTTTAAGCGTATTTTATTAAATATAAAATTCCAAACAAATTTATACCCTTATAAACATATAACAATTTATATCTCTCTGTATCCAAGTTAAAAACTTTAAATTTATTAAATATTTATAACTGTACGTGCTTTGTGTTCAAGAAATTCGAGGTATTCGTGTTACAGAAGACATAAGTATATGTATTTAATTTATTTAAATCAATAAATTTAGAGTTTATATTATGAAATGCTGAGTGATCATAATTAAAGAGTGTGTGTTCGGAGCTCTCTGTAGAGAGAATTATTATGCAAATCTTAACTAAATTTGGTAAACGTACTGTCCTGAGTATGAGGTTTCGATTTTCAGAAAAAAAATTTTACTTCGAAATTCAGCCGCTAGGGCCAAATTTGGCGCTGCTGCTTTCTTAGTTTGCATATTACGTAGTTTCTTAACGATTTACGGGAGTGAAGAAACAAAGTAGAATCATTTTATTTCAATTACAGATGTGAAATGGGGACACCACGAAAGTGAGCGCCATGACTTTTAATCTATCAGAGGATTGTGAATGTTTTGCGAATCGTTTTATACTCGAAATTCGTTAGAAAACGTGCACATTAAGGGAGACATCAGCGCCAAATTTCGCCTTAGCGGCTAAATTTTGAAATAAAAATTGATTGAAATTTTTACAATAGTTCTTTCTACTTCTCTGAACACCTACTCTAATTATGATTGATATAATTATATGAATATTAATTCTTCATGGAATATATTCTTACGTAGAAACACATTGAATAATAATATTTTAAAAATATAGATTTATTTAATATCTTCTCTAACTTGAATGTTTGAATCCTTTCACTTAAGATTCATCTTGCTTATCTTTAATGCTCTACTGACGATAAATTTCAGATAAAATATTATTTTCTTGCAATATAATTTAGTAAAAAGAAAAACATAAAATATTATTTGCAACGAATTTAGTTAATTGAATTCTGTATATAGAAAATTTGTATTAGAAGCAACTTTGTGATAGAAATCCAATAGTTTCAGGCGAGTTATAGATCATTGCACCCTTAAGCAATAGTCAAAAAAATTTCCTATAAAATTAAAATATGGCTCCCAGAAGGAGAATATAAGAAGAATATTAAGATAAATATATTCATTTTTACGTTTATAAAACAATTTTATTAATCAATTTTATAAGATAAACTTTTAAAAATTTAATATTTGTCAATTATAATTTTAAATTTATGATTTATCATATATATTATTCGTAGATTTAGTCGATTTACATATAGATTTTACAAGTACTGGATTTAATTAAGATTCTTGACACCTTTTTACTTGATGGAACTGGGAATTCATAGGAAATTCGTACTTTAAAGAGTGCCAAAAATTCATTTTAAAATTTAAAAAAATTGAAAATTTTATCTAAGTTTTTACGATTTTCCTTAAATCTAGTATAAGTACGTGCTTAATCTATTGAAGAATAATTTATAATTGGATTAAAACGTATTGCGAAAATAATGTATTTTAAGTTATTGTTATGTTAAAAAGCTCTTAAAAATAATTAAAATGTTTTTTTTTTAAATTTTCTTTCTATTTTATTTAAAGTACTTTTTTGTGTTGACATAAAATTATTTAATCAAATCCTATTTAAAAATCTTTTGTAAAACTGTATTATACAAAAGATTTCTTCTATTTAAGATTGCCAAGTTTCATTCTTTTAATTCTTAAATCCTTAAAAAAAATTCTTTAAAAAAAAATTTTAAATTAAAAAAACTATAAAGAGATCACAACAATTAAGAATTATATTAGATGAATCCTATTAAATTTATTTAAATAAAAGTTTCTTAATCGTATCATCGTCCTTCTCATCCCTTCACCATCTTTCTTTCTCAACTCTACTCCCTCGAATAGTCTCTACTCCTAAATATAATAATCTACATAAGAATATTTTTAATCCTTTTAATCCTTAAATTCTTACGAGGATTTCTTAAAAATAAAAGATTCCTTACAGAATCTTAAATATTGAAAACTGTAAAAACAGTTGAGCAATTTTAAAAAATCTTTAAAAAACCCTAAAAATCAAAAATTTTATTTTAAAATCTCAATCTAGAACAATTAAAACTTTAAAAAGGGTTTAAAAACTAAAAAAAATTATCACAAAATGCCTATAATTGCAGGGATTTTATGAGGAATAAAAGTTCCTCATAAAATCCCTTAAAGTTCCTCATAAAATCCCATAAAAAGTTCCTCATAAAATTGTTGGGATTAAAAATAAGAATTTTTCGTAAGGATTTTTAATACGAAAATCTAAAAAATCAATATAAAAAATGTTCACAAAGAACCTTAAAAACTAAAAATAAAATTGTAGACTTCTAACAAGTAAAAATTCTTTTTAGAAACCCTAAACACTAAAAAAATCCTCATTAGTAACCTTTCTATTAGCTTTTTTATCTCTTAAAAAATTCTTTTATTTAGTTTTTAAACGATCAGAAAGGTTTATAATTATCTAACTTTAATCGAATTTAAAAAAAAATAAAATATTAAATGAATTATAATTATATATTAAATTACACATTTGCTGGAAAGTATATAATTATGTTCATCTTCTCTCATTATATAATTACCATTTAAATCAATAAAAATATACAGTAAATGTATATACATTTGAATGTAATTAAGTTTAACTTTATTAACATTAATTTCCTTTATTACTTTCATTACAATTAATTGTAATTTTTTTTTAAATGGTTAAATATGTTTACTTTCTGTATTTACCTGTTTATCACTTATTGACGTCACACTACCATAGTAACTAAAGTTGTTTTTGGTAAAAGGTTTGATGACACTGTATCTAATTTAACGAAATTTAAGGTATAAAAAGTTAAAAGCTTTACTTTCGCAATATAATCACCTTTATATATAAATATAATTTATTATTAAGTGTATTTTTTTTTATGGATTGTACGTAATTTTCTGTTGTTTACCCTTAAAAATAAATCTTAAATCTTTCTATTTTAACTAATAAAATTAATAAAATATATAATTTATAAGTACTTTATTAATTAATAACTTAAAACTTTTATGTTTTATCAATTTTATTTAGTAAAAAATGTGGAAAAATATAGTTTAAATAATGTTATATATATAAATATGGCAATTTAAATTGATCTACATCGAAAATAAACTGTCTTTAGGGGGATTAAAATTATTTTTAAATAATTTATAATTCATTTTATAAATATTTTAATTAATAAATTAATAAATTTGAGTTATTTTAATTAGTAAAAACTGGTAAAATTATGTTATTTAGCTCTGTTTTTAAGTAATCAAGTTTAATTTACTTGTCATTATATATAAAAAATCTATTTTTTTAAAAAATATTTTATGTAAAACTTAATAAATTACAATGATTTTTAAATTATTTTATGCGTCGTAATTTTTAAAAAAATGTAATTTAAGACGATAAAAAGAGAACAGGCATGAATGTCATCATTAAAAGTAAACATTTGATTTAAATATAACTTTAATTATTAATAAATATTATAACTAATAAAATTAATAAATAAATATAAAAATACACATAGATTAGTTTTAAAAATCGACTAAAAAATGTGGAGTGTAGAAATTGTATATTTATGAAGATGCTCGAGAGTTTCATCGCCATTAGAGAAAAACAGGAGGGGGGAAAATATATATGTATATATCTCCACCCACAAAACGTTATATAAATATAAAATTAAATGTTTACGCTTGAATTAAATAATATAATCAGACAGTTAAAAAATCAAAATGTTATCTTTTATTTTAATTTTAGATTTTATGCTGAGATGGCTCTGAATACTCAAGCAGGATGAGTGGTATATCATAGCTTCGATTGAATAAATCAATAAGACTCAAATGCCTGCCAGAAAAGGACTACTCGCACCACAGAATACATTTTTAGATACCATAGCTACCAGGTTTGATGGAACACGTAAGTATTTATAAAAATAATCTTTAAATACCATCAAGTTTCATCCATCATCTTGGAGAAGTTAGTTACATCCGTGGCTTAACAGACCTTTATGTTAAAGATACAATTTACTTTGTATGGAGAGTAATAGTAATAATAATAATAATAGTTATAGTTGATAGCTGTAGACATGCTTTGTGACATAAAATAACTTTCTATTTGTATTTTATGGATGTAATACACAGAAAAGAAACAATGGCACAATGTAATTGGGAAGTTTCTGAAATGGTTTTCTTTGAGTGATATCAAGGTTTCATAGGGGATTCCAACACTCCATTAGGTTCATGCAACAACATAACCTCAACCATTATGAAAGAAGTAGATTGTGTCTTAAAAGCTGACTTCTTCCAATTTACTGCAGATTTAACGGATCTGTAGATGGTTACATTTATTCAAAAATATTAAGAAAGAATGTTGAATANGTATGCTATATGTCAGCATATTATTTAATGTTATTCTATTGTTTAAATAATATTTTTTAAAAATATTAATATATAATATTACTTTTTAATTTGTTACCTTAAAATTTGTAATATTTAACAATTATTATTATTATTATTTTAAAGTTCGATTATTAGTATACTTGTATAAGCTGATATACATGTCTGTGTAGTAAATTATTTATGTACTTTAATATAGGCTGACTGTTAGTTTAGATGCATTTGTATAGTTTAAATGTGTCTGTACAGTTTAGAGTATATCTATATAGTTTGACATCATTTAACTATATAGTATATTTAAATATATCTATACACTTTTATACGGTGTGATCGCATAATTTAAACGTATCTGTATATTTTGATGTAACTTAATTGTATAGTTTGAACAGATTTATATAGTTTCATGTAGTTTTATTACGTTTATGTAGTTTTTGAAAAATTTTACTGCTAATTTCCATATTATTAATAAAAAATTTATTTGTTTAAACGATATTTTTATAAATTTAAAACATACAAAAAAAAATGCAAATTTNTCTTAAAAATAAAAAAAAAATGTAAAAGATTTAACAGAATCGATATCGTAACGCTACAAGGAAGCAACGATATGTAACATTATTTGGCATCTGTCGTCTCTAATAGTGTGAAATATAAAGAGAATCGCGAATGAATATCCTTTTAAAATAAAATAAAATAAAATAAATTTATTTCTTTACTTATTTTTTATTTTTTCTTCCTCTATAACACGAGTTTAAATAATTTCATTCGTGAAACGTTTTCGCATTATTTAAAATGTGATTTGACTAGTTTAACTGAAGCTTTCTTTCTTACAAATATCGTCGTTTATTCTCTTGTTATGAAAGTTGTCTTTATAATAAAGGTTTTTGGAGGCAATTTAAATTCTATCTATGGATTTTTCTTACTTATACATAGAATATAAGCTTTCTGTTTCTAGTAAAATTGATAGCACAGCATTAGAAATGAATATTTTTCAATGATTTGCTATCGTTTTCTAACAGTCTTTCGTGCTGTAGTAAAAAAAAAAATTGTGCAGGGATAATAACTAGCTAATATCTTGGTAACATTCGATAAATTCAGCTAGTTTCTTTCTTTTCTCGAGAGAGCACTTTCTGCTAGTTTCTTTTTTATTTATTTATTTATTTTTTCGGTTGTTGCTCACATGTTTCTATGCTCTAACGCCTTCATATTAATGTTCTATCATTCGTTCATGCATTAATCGATGAAAATACCAACTGTGAATCAAAATAATATGGAAGAAAAGCGTGAAAATACCCTAAAATATATTAAATAAAACTAAAATAAACGCAAATATTTTTTAAAATTTTCTGTTTAAAATATTTTAAAAAGATAACTGCGTGTGCCCTAGTTACTGGAGCTTTTCAGAGGGTGAAATTGTTGAGGTTGGGCTGGGAGAGGGTGATAAAAACAATGGTCTTAGTAACTAAAATGTACTGTACTTTCAATGATCCAGGTATTTACAATAGTGAAACTCAGAAACATAAAAATTGCACGTGCTTCAGTATGAGGGGTGAGTTTTAGAGGTGATGGGGGATCACCACAGTATTTTTTCTATAATGTCGAAGAATATTTGTGCAAATTTGGTGCGGATACATTAAAAGGTATATATATGTACAAAAACTTACTTAGAATGTATTTAAAGTTTTAAAAAATTAAGCAATATTTTAAAATTAAGTTATTTATAATCCATAAAAGATCTTCCTAAATTGAAATATTATCTTTATCANTATGTTAATTTTGGGGATTCAGCGAGGTTCTAATCTGTAGATTGTTTAGTTTATGTGAAAATTTGACTTAAAGATTTAGTTATTTGTGATGAAAGGGCTTCTTGTATAGTGGAGGTTTCTTTCTATTGGTGGAGAAGATACAAAAGGCCCTTCTCCATCAATTAACTAAGTATTTTTTTTAGGATGGAACGAGGCCTTATGCTATGACTCTACAGATATCGTTACTTTTCATTTCTATCTATTGATAAATAATAATTATAACTAATTAAAATAATAAAAATATTCATTAAATAATATTATAAGAATAAATTTTCTTCATTCAAATATAACTCAGAATTATTTAAAATAACATTAAAAGCAGATGTTCTGAATATTATTTTTTCTCTTCTAAATTGCTAATAAGATAGATAATATATCTATATTAAGAAAACATTTAAATATATTGTTATTTCTTATCTAATTATGTACTTAATTATAATAAAAATTCAATTTCTCTCACCCTAAATCTAGATAATTCAAACAATAATAATTATTTTTATATTATCCTTAATGATGTATAATTAGAATAATTCATTTAACTGATATATATTCTTTCAATTTGCTATCAGAAAATCTTCATCACCGAATAAAATTACGTTGAAATTCTGAAAACTTTATATACAATCGACAGATATTTACGATCTTTCCATTAAACAATTACCATAATAAATTCTCATATAACGTAATTTTCTTAATGGTATTAGCTTACTTGAAATAGCTGACATTCTTTAAAAGCTTTAAAATTTTCATCGTGATAATCGTCAACAATTGACTCAATGTAAATTTCTGTGTAATTATAACAAATAACGTCGTTTACTGACAATTTACTGTATATTTATTTGTTAATTTTCTTTAAAAAAAGAAAGAAAAAAAAATAGAAAATAATCTCTACTGAATTGTTGTTGTTAATGGAGATTTACGGAAGGAAATTTGTGGTAAATTCGCAATTTCTCTAAACAATAAACTAGAAAAAGTAGAAAATAAAACAGAATTTCGAGTGATTATTTCCTTAAAAAATTTTATTTTATAAACGATTAAATATATTTTTAGAGTAGAAAAGGGAAATGCCCAGGTGCCATCCGTTTATCCGATCGTGTACTGTTCCGATGGATTCTGTGAATTGACAGGATTTCCGAGAGCTCAGATCATGCAAAAAGGATGTGCATGCAACTTTCTCTATGGACCAGAAACTAGGGAAGAGCATAAAAAACAAATTGAAAAAGCTTTAGAAAATAAAATCGAACTAAAATTAGAAATCATGTTTTATACAAAAGCGGGTATGCTTTCTACTTCCTCCTCCTCCTCCTCCTCCTCTTCTTCTTCTTATTGTTCTTCTTCTTCTATCAAATTCTCCAACTCTCTGTAATAACCAACTTTTAGATAATTTAAAAAAACATTGAGTAAGCTTAATTTTTTCATATTTTAGGTTGTCCATTTTGGTGCCTACTGGATATAGTTCCAATTAAGAATGAAAAACACGAAGTGGTCCTTTTCTTGGCTTCTCATAAAGATATTACAAAATCAAAAATTGCTGAGAATGAGTTAAGTGATGGATATGATAGCTTAGAATTGGGTAAGTCATTTTTATTTTAAAATATCTTGAAAAAAATAAAATATAAATAGAATTTTAATAATGTTTTGAATTCGTTTATAAATTTTTTAAAAATTTCTTTAACTTAAAATATTACAAAAAAAAACTTGAGTTACCGTGTTAATATTATAATTTAAACAACATTTATTTATTTAATAGATATAGATAAATAAAATTTTATATATTTTAATTTTATTATGTAATTATTTTTAAAAAAAATATAGAATATTTAAGTCTGGTCATTTATAATTTTTCTCTATCAAAGTTAGCTGTTATATGAATAACATGCAATCTGCTATTCATTTATTTATTTCCTGGGGGATGCTTTCATGTCAAAACTGGGTAGAAAACGAGATTCGTTTGTGTAGACCAACCATGCAAGAAGAATTCGATCGAAACATCTCGATCTGAAAAAATAGAATGAAATTCTATATTCTCTTCGATACTATCTTCATTTCTTTTTCTTATATTCCAATAATGTATTTTGACATTGATTAGCAGTAATTGCTCACAAATTTCAAAACTGTTAAGAATTTCTTTCTATAAATTTAAAATTTTTTTTCTTTCTAAAAATAAAACAAATAATAAATTTTCTATATATATTTTTTTCTTTTTATGTAAGAAATATTTTAAAATATTCTACATTAATTTAATATTGGAACTGAAGCGAAGTTTTATACATATAAATGTAGTGTATATATACATGTATCGTGTGTTAAATTCTAAGGAGGATAATAATAATTTTGAGTTAAATGTTATCTTAATAGCATTTAGACATGTCACGAAAGCTAAGTATGGATACTAATGGGTTATAGGCAAAATTGACTGTCTTGCCGTCGCTTAACAAGATTATATAAAGATCTTACCCGTTCTTTTAAGTGCACTTAAGTCACGAATGTTTTATCTTAAAATGAAATTTATAAATTTAATATAAATTTTTTGGAAGTAAACTATATTTAAAACTTTAAATTATTTTTAATTCTACGTTTACATTATTATTATTATAATATATATGTGCATGCAATATATTATATTTTTCAATCGAATTATATACTTAATTCGATTTTGGTTTGTAATTGTAATATATTTTCTAATTTGAAATGAGAAGAGAAATTAATATCCTGCTTATAAATGATTTATTAGCTTAATTTATAATTATTACAGTTAAATATTTAATTGCATTTAAAAATATTTGTTACAAATTACAAGAAGTTTGCAAGTTGTTACAACTTGCAAAGGTTTGTAATTTGCAAGTTGTATATTTAAATCATCGATTTTTGAACAGGAAAAAAAAATAGTCATATAATATTTATCAGTGTCTAAATAAAATTATAACGATGGTATACACAACTTACTTCTTACTTAACGGTATACCCAAATTTACTTTTTAAAAATTATTTTTATTTTATGTTAGATTTATTTTAATTAATTTTGACTTATTTTCTCTCATTTTTCTATAGATGCAAATGGTAACTTAGATCCTGAAGAAGGATGTCTTCCTGGCTCTCATAATCAAAGAAGAAGAAGTAGAGCGGTTCTCTATCAGTTATCCGGTCATTATAGGCAAGATAAAATGAAAACAAAATTAAAATTAAATAATGTACAGTATGCACTTTACTTAAGAAATTTAATTAAAAAAAGGAAAACATAAAAAAAATTATAAAAATAATAATCGAAATTAACATTAGAAATTCTTTCTCTTCTACAGAAACTGCTTCATACAACAGCCTTACCTGAATACAAGACAGCAGCCTTAAAACGATCCAGGTTTATTATTTCACATTATGGTATTTTTAAAACTTGTTGGGACTGGCTTATTTTATTTGCTACTTTTGATGTAGCTGTTGTTGTACCGTATAGTGCTGCTTTTCATAATCGAGATGATAATGCTCTAGAGGAAAAACAGGATATGAGACGTTACAGCAAAACTATAATTGCAGATATTCTAGTCGAAGTATTGTTTATAATAGGTAAAAAAATAAATAAATAAAGTTTTGATAAATTTATTAATACATGATATACTTCTTGTATATTTAAATTTAATTAATTGTAGATATCATATTGAATTTTCGAACGACGTTTGTTAACAAGAAGGGAGAAGTAGTTACTAAGCCAAAATCTATAGCAATTCATTACGTTCGTGGATGGTTCCTGGTTGATGTTTTAGCAGCTTTACCTTTCGATCTTTTATTTGCAGCCAACTTATATAGCAGAGTAAATATTATTCTTCCTTATTAGAAGCTATATGAATTATATAACGTATAGTATATGGAAGCCTTAAAATAATACTAAAGATATATGTGTCAAGCTCTTACTTGGCTAAAACTCTTGATCGTTTATACATTTATTTTTATAATTTTTTTTTAGAATACTTTAATACATTTGCTAAAACTGACGAGACTGCTTAGGCTGGCAAGACTAATGCAGAAAATGGATAGATTTTCTCAGTATAGTGCCATCATTCTAACTCTATTAATGTTAATGTTTAGTTTGATGGCTCACTGGATGGCTTGTGTTTGGTACGTGATTGCAGTAGGGGAGATAGAGAACAACCCAATCAATTGGGATGTAGGTAAAAAATGCTTTTTATTCGATAACTTCAATTTAAGTATGTTTTATTGGAATAAATAAATGTACATAAAATGAAGATATTTTCACA